TGTACTTTCTATTAAGATTTAGATACAGCATGTTTATTAACTGTTAGTATGTACAGTATAAAAATAAATTACATTTATTTGCACACTTCACGAATTATGCTGTATTTATGAAGCAAAAGTAAATAAAACAACAATAATATTAATAAGTACATAAATAAATCAAAATGAGAAAATTTTTTGTCTAAAATGATCCTTGATCAATATGTATACATTGATGAAATTCAAGAAGGGCTATTCTATTTTATGCGGAGGGAGTGGCACGCGAATTTCTGCGCAATGGTTAAATTAAAGAAAAGATCCCTTCTATTAATCGTTTGAAGTGGCAATCATCGCGATCGATGGCTCAAAAAACCCAGATTCGAGCTAGGAAGTGTCAAACAAAACATTGGAAAAGTGGTGATATTAATGACAACAAAAAGATGAGAAAAACTGCAAAAGTTATATCTGGCGCAAAGAAAAAAAATTTTTAGTCGTGTATAGGTAACATAATAATTATTCACGCTCAGATTTATACAACGTAGTGCAGTGTCGTGAAAAATTTGATGAATTGTTGCAGTGTCAATAATTAAAAAAAAAAAAGATTCCACGCATCAGGTTTGCAACGTCTTTTTTTTTTTGTATTTTTTTTTTTTTTTATTTTTTTTATTTTATCTTTATTTTCTTGTGCTATGTTCGTGGAATGATTTTTTACGCCATATTGATTGTGTGAATTTGTATTTCATTTTTCCGTTTTGTACATTCGATCTCATAATTCACTTCAAAATACTGATTGTTTACATGCAAAATTATTATCGTATTTTTAAGAATTCTTGTTCATCTCAAGTTTTTTTCTTCTGATGATTTGCTTTAGCAGCCGTTTCTAATTATTTATGTTTACCATTGTCAACCGGATATCATGACCGTGTTTCCCGTATAAAAGACCCGCGAAACTATTTATGAAGTATCAGGATAGTTTTGAATAAAGGCAAACTTTTTAAGATATTTTAATCCTTCTTTAGAATAATATGCTTCTCTAAGACAAGTGTAAGTGTTCACGTACTGGCCGTGTTCCGCTGATTTTTGGAGTGGCGAGTTATTTAATGGCACATTTTTAATGTCATCCGACACATAAGATGTTATGGAAGACGAAGCATCGCTTCGAGTTGATATGGCCCTTCCTCTTTTCATCGTTTTTTTAATTTGATTTCGTACATCACCAATTGCTAGGCGTTTCCTGGGGTTTTCGTGCCAGGCTTTCTCAACCAAATCATTATATTGTGGTGGCGTGTCAACTGAAAACGGACCGGGGCGTTCTCCTTTTATAACCTTTTCGGCAACTTTTATAGGATTATCGATGTCGCCGAACGGAATTTTGTGTGATGAAATCTCCCAGAGAAGGACTGCAAAACT